CAACAGGAATATAAAACGGGAGGAGACAGCTCCCACACAGTCACAATCTGAGATCCCAGGAGGTAGGATCATCATTTTGGATAGAGGTAAGAGCCAGTAGCTTGGCTGTTTTGCTTTTCTGACCTTCAGGCTGAACCCCAATTTCTGTCTCTGGGTTTTTATTAGTCGTGCTACAATGCCAAGACTCCTTTTCAATTTTTACAAGAGCAATATTGCCCTATATCCCAGGCTGACTTCAAACTGAGGACTCCTGCTTCAGATTCTCAGTGCTGAGATTGAGAGCAGGCTACCACATACAGCTTCAAATACTATCCAGCAGACAAGTTTGAGTCAAGCTGAACAAGACACTATCTCATTTGGTAAGTAGACAGTGTCTTAGCAATCTCACAAATTACTTTTCACTCCAAATCTGGCACCGATAGAAGTTCATTGCAAGCCAGAGTGATTTTTCTTTTTTAATCTCAGCTCTTTGTTTTTCCTATAAATTGGTAGTTACCTTTGCATGTTACTTTTTATTGGGACTGTGGTCCTAACAGAGGCACTCTCTAATGGTTAGTGTTCTATGTTCTGTAAAACTGTGTTTCATGGGTGTGAGTGTGCCTCCCTGCTAGGGAGTGAGGGTTGAGAGATACATGACTGGGTAGCCCAATCCTACCTGTCAGGTGCTGGCATCAAAATATAGTGCAGTTATTACAGCCTTTTTGACAGAGTTTGTATGGGCCTAGCTGTTTTGAAACTAGCTCCTGTAGACCAGGCCTGACTCAACTCACAGTGCTGGTTTTAAAGGCATGTGACACCATCACCCGGCTTTCATTAGCCTTGGTGTTAGTGTTTAGATTCTTACATTAGTGGGAGCCCTGTAGACTTGTGTCTAGTTATTTCTTGACATACCATCAGTTTAAGACATACATTTTAAATTGTTAGCATGTGTTTGTATATTCATGGTTTCATTATGTTTTGTTTTTGTGGGGCGGGTTGCAAGACAGGGTTTCACTGTAGTTTTAGAGCCTGCCCTTGAACTCCGCTCTTGTAGACCAGGCTGGCCTCGAACTCAAAAAAATCCTTCCTGCCTCTGCCTTCAAAGTGCTGGGATTAAAGGTGTTGTGCCACCACCAACCGGCATCACATTATGTTTTCAAATGTGTTTATTTTTCATACTCCTTAGATTCTTCTACTTGCACCTTTTCCTCTTCCCTCCTATTCCTTCTTTTTTTTTTTTTTTTTGTTTTTCCGAGAGGATTTCTCTGTGGCTTTGGAGCCTGTCCTGGAACTAGTTCTGTAGATCAGGCTGGTCTCCAACTCGCAGAGATCCGCCAGCCTCTGCCTCCCCAGTGCTGGGATTAAAGGCGTGTGCCACCATCGCCCAGCCCCTCCTATTCCTTCTTGTGTTGCACGTGTACCTGTATATTTTTGATGTTTCAATGAGTTATTAGGTTGTTTACACTGTTCTGAGTGAGGGAACAGCATAGCATCAAAACATTTTAAGAATTGGATCTTAGGGCTGGAGAGATGGCTCAGCGGTTAACCTGCTCTTCCAAAGTTCCTGAGTTCAATTCCCAGCAACCACATGGTGGCTCACAACCATCTGAAATGAGATCTGATGCCCTCTTCTGGCCTACAGGCAGACACACAGACAGAATATTGTATACATAATAAATAAATTAAAAAGAATTGGATCTTAGATTCTTTACAACTAGAGACAAAGTTGTAATGGTTTCTATCTGTATCTGTCTGTTTTCTTGTCTTACGTTCTTTCTTGGTTTTTCAAGACAGGGTTTCTCTGTGTAGCTTTGGAGCCTGTCCTGGAACTCTCTATCTAGACCAGGTTGGCCTCGAACTCACAGAGATCACAAGCCTCTGTTTCCAGAGTGCTAGGATTAAAGGTGTAAGCTGCCCGTTTCTCTGTGTGACCCTGGCTGTCCTGGAACTTGCTCTGTTGAGCAGGCTGGACTTAATTCAAAGAGATCCCCCTGCCCCTGCCTCTGCCTCCCAAGTGAGCGATTAAAGGTATACGCTACCACCACCCAGCAGGAGGTTTGTTATTTTAAGCCTGAAGGCACAAATCACTTGTTTATGAATCAAACACTTAGGAAGTGGGCAATGGAGAAGGATATGGACTAGAGTTTGAGGTCAGCCTAGGATTCAAGAGATTCTCTTGAGCCAGGTGTTTCTAGGCCTTTAATCTACTTGGAAGGCAGAGGCCATTGAATCTTCTGAGTTTGAAGGCAGGGAAGGTGTTTGAAATACTGAAATACTGGTTGTCTTCTGGAGGCTAGACGTCTTTTGAGCTGAAGGTGTATTCAGTGTAACTCATAGACCAAACAAATGAAAATTTATCTCAGAAGGTAAAAATGACAAGTGGTGGCAAGAAATGAGATAGGGAAAGAAAGATTTTTTTTTTGGCTTAGCAGATTTGATTCTGTGGTGTTCACAATATTAAAAACAACTTAGGTATAATGTTGCTAAAAGTTGTCAGAAAACTGATTTCCAGAACTTTACCATCATATTGTCATCATATTGCCCCCCCTTCCCCCCACAGGGTTTCTCTAGCTTTGGAGCCTGTCCTGGAAGTAGCTCTTGCTGGCTTCGAACTCACAAATCCACCTGCCTTTGCCTCCCAAGTGCTGGGATTAAAGGCATGTGCCACGCCCCCCCCCAAATTCCAGTGTTTTAGGAAAACTACTGTCTTTGTTGTTAACTCATTTCAAAATTCAAGTGGAGGTAAGAGTAGCTTGCCTAGACCCCTATCTAAGTACAGATTAGCCTGATTTAAGGATAAAAATTCAGGGACTGGAAAGATGGTGCACTTGAAGGCTTTTGTTGTGTTGCACAGAACTCAGGTTGAATTCTCAACAACCCTGAGATGTTATGCTACCACTTTTTTTTAAAAGGGATCAGATGTCCTCTTCAGACCTACATACATCAAGTTATAAATGCAGTACCTATAACAAACCTGTAGGTAAAATACTCAAGACTAACAATCTGGGCCGGAGAGATGGTTCAGAGGTTAAGAGCACTGGCTGCTCTTCCAGAGGTCCTGAGTTCAATTCCCAGCAACCACTGGTGGCTCTCAACCATCTGTACTGAGATCTGGTGCCCTCCTCTGGCGTGTGGGCATATAAATAAAAAAAAAGACTAACAATCTTTAAAAGGGCTTTTTATTTTATTTATTTTTATTTTTTTTTGGATTTTTCGAGACAGGGTTTCTCTAGCTTTTTGGTTCCTGTCCTGGAACTAGCTTTTGTAGACCAGGCTGGCCTCGAACTCACAGAGATCCTCCTGCCTCTGAGGCCTGCGACACCACCGCCAGGCCCTAAAAGGGCTTTTTAAAGACCTATGTAAAGTTCTTACATAGGACCGTAGTTCAAGTCCCAGCACACATAAGCCTGGCTAACAGCTATCTGTAGGAATATATGTGGTGCATATAAAACCTCTTAGACATGAAATAATTTTCATTTTTAGTTTCTCAAGATAGGGTATTTCTGTGTAGCTCTGATTGTCCTGGAACTAACTCTAGATCAGCTGGCCTTAAATTCAACAGGTCCCTCTGTTTTTGCTCCGAGTGCTACCCTTACCACCACCTGGTAATTTTTTTAAATTGTTAAATTTATCCAGGCGGTGGCGGTGCATGCCTTTGATCCTAGCACTCACTCAGGAGGCAGAGACAGGTAGATCTCTGAATTTGAGGGCAGGCCTGGTCTACAGATCAATTACGGCTCTGTTAATGTTATGGTGTTGCTCCTGGGAGGAAGAGCTAGGGCTGCCACAACTTCTAGGCAAGCTTAGACTATTCAAGGGCGATCTCTTCTCAAGCAAAACAAAAATGTTAGACTAGCTCACTACCTGGAAAGTTTGAGGACAAGGAGGGCTCTACATAGTAGTATCCTTTTCCATTCTATTCTTTTTGGGTTTTTGAAATAGGGTTTCTTTATAGTTCCTGGCTGTCCTGGAACTTAGTCTAGGGCAGGCTGACCTCTAACTCAGAAATCTGCCTGCCTCTGCTCGGGAGTGCTGGGATTAAAGACCCTTGCTACCATGCCTCCTTAAATGTCACTTTTTAGTAATCTAAAAGCTAATTTATTACTACTTACATTTATCGATGGACTTCGTTGATCTCCTATTCAACTCCTGTGTCATCCAGGAGGCAGAACTATGCCATTTTTTTCCATTTTGTAAATTTTTGACATTGCAAGCATTTATTTTTGTTTTTGAGACAGACAGGGTTCTGCTGAACAGGAACTTGATATGTAAACCAAGCTGGCCTCCCAACTGCTGGGGTTAAAAATGTGCCACCATACCATCTTTTCAAAGTCCCCCCCCCCCTTGTGTTTTTCTTTGTCAAGACAGTTTCTCTGTAGCTTTGGAGCCTGTCTTGGAACTAGCTCTTGTAGACCAGGCTGGACATGAACTCACAGATCCACCTGACTGTCTCCAAGTGCTGGAATTAAAGGTGTGCACCATTACCGCCTGGCTTCAAAAAAGTTTTAAGACAGTTTCATGTAGCCGAGGCTGATTTCCAAGTTGAATGGTGTTTGACCTGGATTTCCTTAACCGATTGCTTCTACTAAGCAGGTGCTGGAATTACAGGTGTGAGCCACTGTTCTGTCTAGTATCTTTATACTGCCTGTATACGGTATTTCTTGACTAATAGGATTCTGAGTTAAGTGAATTTTATGTATTATGTATCACTTAATCATTTCACATTCTCTGGCCCTCATAACAATTTTTTACTTACCCTCTTGTCTCCAGTATGTTTTCTTTCTTTTTTTTAAACATTATGGTTTATTTAACTTTATTTTATGTGCATTGGTGTGAAGGTGTCAGATCCCCTGCAACTGGATCTTCAGACAGTTGTGAGCTGTCATGTGGGTGCTGGGAATTGAACCCGGGTCCTCTGGAAGAGCAGTCAGTGCTCTTAACCACTGAGCCATATCTCCAGCCCCCATTTTTCTTTTTTTGTTCTTGGCCTTAGGACAGTGTAGCTTGGGCTGGTTTCAAGTCCAGGGTTGCCTTGAATTCATCTCCTGCATTACTGCATTAATAAGCCTTGTGAAAAATTGGAATTTTAGATATGTATCCCTATGGAGGTGGTGGTAGAAGAAATAGGAGTTTTAGAACCATTCTGTGCTACAGACCATGTCCCAAAAGAAAAACAAGTCAAATTGTACCATCTTTATGGAAACAGTTGACTTCCTGTTGGCTTTAGGATACAAAATGCCATATAGTCTCATGTAGTTCCCAAACTTAGACTTCTGTGTAGCTGAGGCAGGCTTGATGCTTAGCTTGATGCTACCAAACCCAAAACCTTGCTTATAAATAAATACCTCTAATATGAGAATTCAGTTCAAGTATAGAGAAGGCATAAAAAGCCCCAAGTCCTAGGTTCTATCCCCACAACAAATGAAACCCAGAATGGTGACTTGTAGCCAGGAACTACAAAGAAACCCTGTTTATATGACATAGAGTTTTCATTAAAACCTTTCCTCAGCTTCCTAAACCTTTGGTGTAAAGGGTATATGCAGTGCCGTTGTCTGTGATTCCAACACCTTTATTTTAGAATATCCATAGATACATAAAAAGAGAAATTGTGCTCAGTGTTCATTTGTATCAAGATTTAAAATTTAGAGGTGTGGAAAAAACTAGCTGAGTTGTTCTGGTGTTTAACGTGCTCAGTCCTGGCTTTAAAGCACAGCAATTCCATAAAATCAGCTATGGTGGAGCACAAACTAAGGATTCAAGAGGATGGGATAGGAGGATTAACCAAAAAGCTCAGCAAATCAGAAGTTACTGAGGGTAAGCACCATATTGAGTTGGAAATTAGTCACCAGCCCTGCCACCCAAAATCAAATACACCCCATTCATACTTTGCTACCCTTTTTTAAGTGTTAGGGTGGTTAAGTCCTACCTTGTCTTTGTTAGAGCTGTTACTAAAACCTTGGCTATTTCTTACTGTATCTTGTCCTTTTAGTCCCGAACGGTGGTTATTTCTGTAAAATTTCCTTCTGTAAAGTTAATTCAAGCAATCAGAGTCTAAACAAAAAAGCCTAAGAATTTAATTTGCAGTCATCACCTGCTTCAGTTAATAATAATAGCCCTACTTGTTTCACGTTTCTTTTTTCTTTTGGGACATTCTGTAAGTTTTTTTTTTTTTTTTACAAGAAATAACCTTAGTAACAATTTTAAAGTTTATTTATTGCGTGTATATGATTAGCATGTTTGCCTCTACACGGGTGCTTAGATCAGGACAACTTCAAGTCCTTTCGCTGTGTGGGTCCTGTGGATAGAACTCAGGTGTCAGGCTTGGAAGGCCTTTTCTTATCTCACTGGGCCCTCAAAAATATACGGCCCGTGGTTGGTGGTAGCCTACTGTTTTAATCCTAAAAGCATTCTAGGCGGAGGCAGAGAGTTCGAGGCCAGTGTGACACACAGTCAGGGCTGTTGTAGAGAAACCCTGTTGGGGGGGCGGGTGAATAAAGTCCTTGAAATATCCAGTCACTGCTTTGAATTTAAAATAACATTTTGGGGTTGCCGGTTGGATAAGGGTTTTAGGAATTGATTTTTAAAAATTTGTGCTTTTAACAGGTTGAGGAGACATATCTAGTAGTTACTGGGGAATCAAACATGAGGTGTCAGCCATTCGGGGTTAAGGCACTTTTTCCGATTGCTGGTATTAAAGGTGTGCGCCACCAGTGACTGCCAGTGGAGTTGTTTTTTAAAGTTATGCTTCAGCATTGGAAATATCTGAGTTCATGGTCAAATGAAGAAAACAAAGTATTGCATGTCGGCAGGTTTCCATTCTGTAGTATCCAGTTCGAGGTGATTCGGTTTTACTTGACAGACTTTTCCGCTTCAGTGCTGTCGTTCTCCCCCTCCCCCCACAGCGGGTAATTTGGACCTTGCCCAGGTGGCTACTTCGCCGCTTTACGGAGAACTGGCGAGAAGTCTTCCCCTTTCCTTTCCCTCCTACCCCCATTTCCGGCGCTGGCCAATCGCACGGTTCGCGGGCCACACCTGCAGGCACGCTTTTCCCATTGGTGACATATTGGCGGGCCGGCAGGGCACTTCCTTCTCTGCACCCCGTGACCCGAGTCCGACCGCCGCTGTCGATCACGCGGTTTCTGCTTCCCGGACTCCGGACCTGAACGCCCGTCCTCGGCGTGGTGAGCCTCGCTTGGCGCCCGAGCCTTCAGGTTACCGGTCGCGAACTCGACCTGGCCACCTGAAAGTTTTCCCGCTTCAATCCCTTCCTCTCTTCGGCCTGCGCGAGTTCCTACTCCAGCCTTCCCCTCCCCCACCTCACCCCACCCGGGAGGCTCAGGAGCCTCCCATCCCCCCCGCCCCGCCCCCTCCCGGAAGCTCCCGCCCGAGCCCGCGCAGGCCCCGGGGCGGACCTTCCTGCCCGGCCGGCGCTCTGAGCGCGGCGCGGTCGACTGCCGGTGAAGGCCGCGAAGCAGCGTCACCTTTCCCTCGGCCCTGCTTCCCGCCAAAACGCGCGACTCTAGGGGCTCCGCTCCGGCAGAAAGCGCTTGCCCCTGGTCATTTGAACTTCCATTTCAGGTTGAGAACAAAAAGAAGATGCACCTGGACTTTCCCGGGACCTCTCTGCGTTTTTAAAGCGTCGGGTGGAGTTGGGGTTCGTAAGCCGCGTTGCTTATTGAAAGTAGAAGTCACTTCTGCCTTCCTCCGTGGTAAGTTCTAGAGCAGAAAAGGCAGGAGCGTGGTGCTTTTAGCCGCGGCTCTCGTGGTTTTAAGAGTAGAACTTTCTGAGTAAGAACCTGCCAGGACGCGCTCCCGGCGCTCCGGAGGTTAAAACTCGTTTACAAAATGGAGGGCGAGGGCGGGCTCCCAGAGAACTCCGGCGACTTCCTGGAACTCGAAGATGCGTAAAGGAGGAGGGTGTAGTTTTGCTCCCACCAAGCGGGCCCTGAACAAAAGAACTAGGTGGGTGGTGCTTGAACCGCCCTGTTTGTTCGGCCGATAAATTTAGTCCAGGATTCAAAGGGCGCACCTCCTTTATCTTCCCTGGATCTACCTGAAGGCAGTGAAAATCCAGTCTAACCAGTATCACCGAGTGGGTAGCGTGTTAAAAAAGCAGAGTTTCAGCCTGCATTTCTTAAATTTTAGTTCATTTTCACTAGTTCTCAAGAGCGAATGGTAAGCCTTGGCTGGCTACAGTATTAGGTGCTAGCTTTCTGCAGTGATGCAAATGGTTCCAGTAGCGTGTCCTACAATTAAATCTGAGTTTCTGGGTGTACGAGCATTACTTTTAATGAGATCCAGCTTTCCATCTGCTCTTTCCTGGGCATATCTCCACAGTTGACATTCTCAGGTCTCGCGCTGTGGGTTAATACAGGTCTGGCTGCCAGCTGCTTGCCCCACCTCTCCAGAAACTCCTCAGGTTTTATATACCACTGCGAAAGTAGAAGACTGGAGTAAAATGGTGGGAAAAGGGCAGGAGTATGGATGATTTTAAATGAAAACCTGGTTACTAGAGTATTGGAAACTTCTACTTTGAATCAGGCTTCTAACAGTTACCCTTATGTAATCACAGGAACTGTGAGACAAGGTGAAGGAAAAAATTACCTGTAGTTTAAGAGGGCAGGAAAGACGAACTTTTCCAAAATGGAAAATGTAGTTTAATTAATCAGATAATTTTTGTAAAAAATTACTTTATGAAGAGTGCTCTGCCTGCGTGTCTGACTTTATGCCAGAAGAGGGCATCAGATCCTACTACATGTTTGAGCCACCATGTGATTGCTGGTAATTGAACCCAGGACCTGAAAGAGCAACCAGTGCTCTTAAACCCAGATCATTTCTCCTCCCACCATCAGCGAATTCATAGGATTCAGCTCATGTTCTCTTCCTTTGGGGACAACTTGGACAAATGGATACTTGTGGCTGTTAGTGAAAAGTACATGTCTATATTCTTCACCACGAAAAATTGATCAAACCAAACCCCAAATTTATGTAAATTTCCAAAAGAAAAAATATATGGGATGGTCTTGGGTGTTTCAGACTCCCCTCCCCCAGATGAAATTCTCAACTGTCAGTCTCCAATAGAGCCTTGCCTCTGTGAAAGGGTTGCTGGCATTGAAGTTTGTCAGAAAGCGCCACCTTCGCTAGCTCTCTGTCCTCTTTCATTTAGATTTTTTCCCTACACTTACTCTCTGCCAAGCAAATGGGTTGTTTGCTGATGTCCTCTACACATGAAAAGATAAAACAACATGGAAACCTGTTGGTCCTGGGGCTTGCAAAGATTAGCTTTCTCTAAGCCCAGCTCTAGGAGTTTCCCTCTGTAATGATAATACGTGGATTCTGAGGCCATGAGACCAATCTTGGGTTTTGTGTTTGTTTTGTTTTGTTTTTAAAGGAAAACTTGTACCTTCCATAAGTGTTTACTACAGAAGGCACCTGTGGTGGTTCTTTAAGGTAAGCTATTAAAGATAAGTCAATGTACATCATAATAAGCAAAGGAATCCAAAACTTAGTTTTAACTGTCCGATGAGTTTTATTGCTTTTAAGTCCAGCAATTGGGAGGCAGAGGCAGGTGGATCTCTTGAATTCTGAGGCCAGCCTGGTTTACGGAGCCCGTTCTAGGACAGCCACGGCTATACAGAGAAGCCTTGTCTTAGGGGAAAAAAGGAAAACAAAAGTTCTGACTAATAGAAAAGGAGGTGTAGACACTTGTTTCAGGAAAGAATGATTTCTTGCCCCGTTGCCTAAACTCTTACAAACTTATCTGCATCTAAAGCAATTCTTCTGTGTTTTTGTTCTTGCTTTCTGCATGTCTTCAGTTTTGACTAAGCTGCTCTACAGTTTGAAGGAAGGTGTTGACCCCAAGTGGCCAGCTAATCCCTTGGTAATCTTTGGCTTGCTGTGTTTGTGAGCAGTCTGCTAAGCATGAGGAAACTGGACAACAAAAACAGTCTTTCTTAAGGGGGTTCCATGTGGCTTTGCAGATATCTTTTAAACCACAGTAGAGGGTGTTAGGAAAGGGTGGGTAGATGCAAATCAGGTTGTGGAGAACAGGAAAAGATTTTGGAGCAGTATTGTAGCTTATATCTGGAGGATTATCAGGATTTAGCTAGACAAGGTTAGGCAGAGGATATTTGGAGGGAGTATTAATTCCTATATGTGTCAAATTGTCGAGGAACAGAGCGGGGGAATTTATAGGCACCAAGGAGAAGAAAAGGAAATGATACAAGCTAGATAAGAAAGTGATTAATGAATGTCTGTAGAACCTGAAGATTCTATTCACAATCTTTGTTCTAATCATCGGGAAATAGTGCTTATAAGTGGGGCATTGATTGATATGATTGGGTTGCAGTTTTGCTTAGAGGAAGTTAAGGATTGTGTTAGGTTAGCAGGGAATGGGTTCTTAGCAACTAGGAATATGGGAAATTGAAGGCTATGTGGTGGTTACAGGGCTGTAATTTTAGCTACTGGGAAGTAATGAGGCAAAAGGACAAGACACCGTAGACATTACATTGAAAGGTTTAAGAGCTTGGAGATCTATGTATAGTTCAGTAATGGAGAAGTTGCCTGTTGCCTCTCATGTGCAAGGTCCTGGTTCAGTCCCCAGTACCCCAGAAACGGAAATACTTTAGTCTGAGTATAGTGCTATGGAAAACCTTTGGACTGGTACTCCAAGCTCACCATGATTCGATTCAGGGGTCTTTAGCTTAATGGTGTGAAAAGGTACTGTTTTAGTTCTTCATTATAAGAAGGCTATGTGTACTTTGCCCAATTGTAGCTAATGGAAATGTTCTGATCATATTTAAGAAAGCCTAGTAGAGACTATGAATTTTGGGTAGAGTGTTAGTTTGAGATGGTGTTTCAGCCCTGTCTATTCTGGAACTAGTTCTATAGACCAGGCTGGCCTTGAACTCAAAGACCCACCTGCCTCTTCCTCCCAATGGCTGAGATTAAAGGTGTGCATACCACCAGGATGTACACATTAAGTGTATTATTTTGCTTAAGGTAGTTTCAGTTTTTGGTGGGCTTATTGGGATGTAAACATTTTAATTTACTTAATTTGTGTACATTGATGTTTGCTTTCATGTATGTCTGAGGGTGTCAGGTACCAAGGAACAGAATAGACGGTTGTAGGCACTAAGACTTGAATCCAGGTCCTAGAAGAGCTGCTAGTGCTTTTAACCACTGAGTCATCTCTCCAGCTCCAAATGTAAACATTTCTATAAGATCAACTGCATACTTGAATAGGGCTGGGCATGGTGAACATGATCAACTAGAGGCGAGAAGGTTAGCCTCAGCTAGATGTAAAGCCCTAGAAAACCTGTCTCAAAAAGAGTAGAATTCAGGAGGGCTGGAGTCCTGTGTGAGAATGAGTTGGGTTCTCAAGGCAGCTGGTTGGATCTGAGGATATCTTTATAGAGATTAGTTCTAGAGTTTTTGTAGAAACAAGAGTTGGATGTTCGTTGGAGGGTTGTATGTGGCAATTCAGGCCTTGAAGCTGTAGATTTTTTTTAGTCTGCAGTCAAAGATCAGTGAGCCTGGCCACATGTGACCGTGGATAAAAAAATCCTAAAGAGGATTTCCAGGAAGGAATGTTTAAATTCTGTGAAGATGGCAGATGAAGGCTTTTCTTTTTCTTGGACAGATGCTTCAGCTAGAAAGAACATGGCTATTTTAACCACTGGAAGCAAAGGAGACATTAGAGGGGCCTTGAGATTTTACAGAAAAAGGGAAATCAAGTATTAGCTAGAGAAAGCTGATCAGAGAAGGTCAGCTTTCTGATAATGGGTTAGTGCAAGGAGGGAGTGCTCAGTGAATGTTATCTAGGTTGGGTCCCAGGCAGAGCTGCTATAGTTACAGATAATTCCTTGTTTATAAGTTTCTTAGAAATTTCTGTGGTTTTGCTTTCCTTGGTTTCCTGATCCTTACAGAAGTAGAGTTTGAAGTTGCCTGGGCAAGTCAGTCAGCTAGTAGTTTTGTAGATGTGGTTGTCCATACCCGCTTTTTCCTTCTCTCTCCTCTCTCTCTCTCTTCTCATTGTTTGTTCTCTTTCTCTCCAGCCTAGTGTAGTACAGATAATGCTGGCCTTGGAACTTATTCCACTGTTTTCCATATTCTGGGATTACAGGCATTGGACTCTCATTTTGAGTTTATCTCATTGTGAGTTTCACAAACCATGTCACCTCTCATTGAGTGTACTAACCTCCAATTTGGGGTCTTTATGTCCTGATTCTTTCAAGATTGTTCCACTATTTCCAGCTATGCAGGTAGTTAGTATTTGAGGCCTAATAGATAAAACCTTAAGGGCAGCTTTACTACAGAGACTGACTGATAGATTAAGGAAGGTGGGTTGAGGAGTGCTCCTGCCCTCTAGTGGGTAGCATTTAGGGTTGCACTCAAATATACAGGACTCAGGACTGCTTTTGAAAATAAATGGACTGAGAAAAAATAAATTAAATGAACTCTTTAAATATCTGAAATCCATGAGAAACTAGTCCACTCTGGTAGGGTGGATGAACTTAAATCTGGAAACACCACCTTTTCCCATAAAGGTTATGATCGGGTGTTGGTTCCTGAAAAAACAGGGACAATAACTGTCCTAGCTTTGAAAATGTTATTACGGTGGAATTACGGTTACTCCAACATATACACATATACCCTGATTCCTAGTATACAAGTAAAGTCTGCTAGAACTTGATTATAGCAACATTACAGGGATTTTAGGTGAGGCTTATGGTGTGATACCTAGCATGTGCCTGCAACTTTTAATTAAACTTGCATGTTTATATAACATGAGAGATATACAGGCTATTCTTGTCTTTATGCCATTTTCTGTCTATAATCAATTTCAGCCAACAGTAGTCAATAAGTTTTCCCAATGTTAAGTAGTAGTGCCGTTAGTACCACTTAACTGTTGTTGATAGAATGGCATTCCAATCTGGTATAGACACAGGTAAGTGGAATTTTGGGCAGTATTTTAAAGTTAATGACAAAACAGGTCAATGGTCTTAATTTCCTTCTTACTCCTGTAGTTTAATATGTGTGAGACAGATTCGTAGTTTAGGTATGGTGATAAGGTAGCCAGAGCTTATCGTGAACTTGATCTTTCCTTGTCTTCACTTTAAATTTGGTTACAAGTGTGTACTAGCTTGCTTTGTCCGGCTCTTAATTTTTTCTTTTCCCTCCTGCCTCCCCCCCCCCCTTTTTTTTTTAAATCTAATCTCTTAAAGTTTTGAGACAGACTATGACAGTGTAGCCTGGCTGGCCTGGGATTTGCCATATCTACTTGCCTCTTGTTTCCTAGGTTCTGGGATTAAAAGTATGCACCATCACCCTGAGCCTCGCTCTTTTATTCATTTGTTTGTTTGTTTGTTTATTCCAAGTGTTAGGTGAGTGCATTTAGAGGTCAGAAGTCAAGTCTATCCACTGATGAAGGGTGGGGGCTATCTTGGTGATCAAACTTGGTAATCAGGTTTGACAAGGAATACTCTCATCTTGCTATCCCCTCATTTTATTTTTGAGACATTCTTATGTGGGCATGTAACATGGTAATAGTTGAGGATGACCAGAACTATTACCTGATCTATTGGTTTCTACCTGCTATATTTGTCCGTGCACCAAAAAAGCCATTTACAGTTGTGTGATGGTGGTACACACCTTTATTCTCGGCTCTGGAGGCAGAGGCAGTTGGATTTGAGACCAAGCATGGTCTTCAGAGTGAGTTCCAGCACAGCCAGGGATACACAGAAAAGTTCTGTCTTGAAAAACAGAAACAAAACTCATTAACATTGGTTATGTAAAGGTCTCAGCCTTTGTGGTGATGGGTCTTTGTTTTGATGTTGAGTTAAACTGCATATATACTAGGCAAGGGGTTGGTTACAGTGCTATAACCCACCTTGGTTTTTTGCTTACTTGCTTTATCTTTATAATTGTGATAGCACATAAGACAAACACCTGTGTCGGCTATATATATTGGCCTACCATATGGATTAAACAGGCCACCTTTGGAGTTTTATTTTTTAAAAGATGAGACTTAGATAGGCTTCAGCCCAATCTGGCCTAGAATTTAGACTCCTGGTCCAGCTTTCTTTTGAGTGGGAATCTCAGTCATGTAAACCAGATTGAAATGGAACTCAGAAAACTACCTGTCTCCTCAGTATTGGGATTAAAGGTGTATACTGCTATAGCTGTTAACTATTCATTATGGTTTGTTTTCTTTTATTTATCCTTCTGTCTGAATTGGAAAAAACAGTATTTAATGAACCTTACTATGCATTTTAAATGAAAGTTGTATAAAGTAGGTTTTTTTTTTCTTTCAGCTACCAAAAATTGCCCAAGCTTGTGTGACATCAACCCTGTCAAGTGTCCATGATGCTGGGCCCTGAGGGAGGTGAAGGCTATGTGGTCAAACTCCGTGGCCTACCCTGGTCCTGCTCAATTGAGGACGTACAAAACTTCCTCTCCGACTGCACAATTCATGATGGGGTTGCAGGTGTTCATTTCATTTATACTAGAGAAGGCAGGCAGAGTGGTGAGGCTTTTGTTGAACTTGAGTCAGAAGATGATGTAAAATTGGCTCTGAAAAAAGACAGGGAAAGCATGGGACACCGATATATTGAGGTGTTCAAGTCACACAGAACCAAGATGGATTGGGTGTTGAAGCACAGTGGTCCAAACAGCGCCGACAGTGCCAATGATGGCTTTGTGAGGCTTCGGGGACTCCCATTTGGATGCACAAAGGAAGAAATTGTTCAGTTCTTCTCAGGGTTGGAAATCGTGCCAAACGGGATCACATTACCTGTGGACCCGGAGGGCAAGATTACAGGGGAGGCCTTCGTTCAGTTTGCCTCACAAGAGTTAGCTGAGAAAGCTCTAGGGAAGCACAAGGAGAGAATAGGGCACAGGTATATCGAGGTGTTCAAGAGCAGTCAGGAGGAAGTTAGGTCATACTCAGATCCACCTCTGAAGTTCATGTCTGTGCAGAGGCCTGGGCCCTATGACCGGCCTGGCACAGCCCGGAGGTACATTGGCATTGTAAAACAGGCAGGCTTGGATAGGATGAGGTCTGGTGCCTATAGTGCAGGCTATGGGGGCTATGAAGAATACAGTGGCCTCAGTGATGGCTATGGCTTCACCACTGACCTGTTTGGGAGAGACCTCAGCTACTGTCTCTCAGGAATGTATGACCACAGATACGGAGACAGCGAGTTCACAGTGCAGAGCACCACCGGCCACTGCGTCCACATGAGAGGGCTGCCCTACAAAGCAACGGAGAACGACATTTACAACTTCTTCTCTCCACTCAACCCTGTGAGAGTTCATATTGAGATTGGTCCTGATGGAAGAGTGACGGGAGAAGCTGATGTTGAGTTTGCCACCCATGAAGAAGCAGTGGCAGCTATGTCGAAGGACAGGGCCAACATGCAGCACAGATACATAGAACTCTTCCTGAATTCAACAACAGGGGCTAGCAACGGGGCTTATAGCAGCCAGGTGATGCAGGGCATGGGAGTGTCAGCTGCCCAGGCCACTTATAGTGGCCTGGAGAGCCAGTCAGTGAGTGGCTGTTACGGGGCCGGCTACAGCGGTCAGAACAGCATGGGTGGATATGATTAGTGTTGTAGAAGCGTTTTGAGTTATTTCAATCAAAAATTTCACAGGCAGCCAATAAGCAGTCGAGCAGTTTATAACTCTAGAGGAAGCTGGGGGACCCACTTTGCACCATGAGTTTGTGAAAATCTGGATTAAAAAATTACCTCTTCTGTGTTTCTCATGCAAACTTTTCTTCTAGCATGTAATATTGAGTAAACTAAAACTTTTCTTCCGCTTTTCTCAATTAACATTTTTGGTAGTATACTTAAGAGTGATGTTATCTGAGTTAAGTAGTTTTAAGTATGTTGAGTGGATCTTTAAGCACACCACAGTGAACACACTGGGGGACATGTACTTTTCTGGCGAACTCAAAGGTGCTAGATCCCTGATGCAAAGAGAAGCATTTCTCATGTTCATTCTAGTTTATATTTTCATTTAAATCTTTAGGTTAAGTTTAAGCTTTTTAAAAGTTAGTTTTGAGAATTGAGACACAATACTAATACTGTAGGAATTGGTGAGGCCTTGACTTAAAGCTTTCTTTGTACTGTGATTTCCTTTTGGGTGTATTTTGCTAAGTGAAACTTGTTAAATTTTTTGTTAACTAAATTTTTTTCTTAAAATAAAGACTTTTTCACAATGACTGGCACAGCTTATCTACTTAGCGAAAGGCAGTAAACTGGGTGTTGGAAAAGGATTTATAAACCCTTACTATCTTCCAGAGCAGATTTGAAAATAGGGGTGTTAGTTTGGTGGGGTTATCACCATTTAGAAGAATGAAGCAGACAAATCACCATGAGCTTAAGACCATCTTGTTTTATATAGTTTTTGGCTGGGTAGAGATTGACAGTTGGGTGCTCACGGTCCTAAGTTGAAAAGTAGTGTGCATTGTGTAGACAGTTCAGTATACATGAGGAAGCATATAGGCTGTCACCTGTCCTTACATAATGCTGCATACTATTGGGGACAAAAGTAAGCAAGTTCATGTGTTCTGCCTGCATGTACGTAAGTGTACTGCTTGCATGCCTTGTGTCTGAAGCACCCAGAAGAAGGCGTTGGGCCCCCAGAACTAAAGTGCCTTAAAGTTGAGCTATCTCTTGCCTTTTTTTTTTTTTTTTTTTTTTTTTGGTTTTTCAAGACAGGGTTTCTCTGTGGCTTTGGAGCCTGTCCTGGAACTAGCTCTGTAGACCAGGCTGGTCTCGAAATCACAGAGATCCGCCTGTCTCTGCCTCCCGAGTGCTGGGATTAAAGGCGTGCGCCATCACCACTCTTGCCTTTTTTGAGGGGTGGGTATGTCAACTTTTTTTGGTAGAGTTTCAGCATTGTAAATATTAAGTTCAGATTGAGTATTGTCAGGGTATTGGTTAGAGGATTCTGCCTTTGGATAGCAAGGAATCTATAGTATCATTTCCTCTGTGCCACACCTGAGTGCCAGCTTGTAAGCTGGTTGAGTTTACCAGTGGTCTAAAAGTGTGCAAAAACCCTCTTTAACCATGTTTTGCTGGCAGGGCTTAGAATCAAAACATTGGCCCTTGGGGGCTGGAGAGATGGCTCAGTGGTTAAGAGCATTGCTTGCTCTTCCAAAGGTCCTGAGTTCAATATCCGGCAACCACATGGTGGCTCACAACCATCTGTAAGGAGGTCTGGTGCCCTCTTCTGGCCTGCAGGCATACACACAGAATATTGTATACATAATAAATATTAAAGGAATCTAGGGACGTAAAAAAAATTGGTCCTTTTCAAAAAGTGCTCTTAAAAACCAAGCAAAACCTCTCTAGCCTCTTTATTTCTATTTGTGGGCTCATGCATGCCAGGTTGCAAATGTGGAGGTTCCCAGATTGGTTAGATGGGTCCCAAGCACTGAACTTGAGTTGGTAGTAAGTGTGCCTCCTCCGCAGTCTTGCGAATGCAAGAGGTGTTGACAATGTGGACATGAAAAACTCCTCCAAAGCTTCAGTACTGTTTAGAGTTGACTTGGCCTTGGATTTCAGAAGATCCACTAGGATTTCCTCCCGCAGCCACTTCTACTAAAGGGTAGAAGCGTGTTGCAGAAAGGCACACAGCACAGAAAGGAGGTGGAAGGATAAAATCTAAGCAAAAGTATGTCTCTAGTATCACATTCAGCTCAAGGTCCCTTTTGAGATGAGTTCAAACATTTACACTTGGTAAAAGGGTTGCTACATTGGTTGATTGGATTTAGAGAAGTGAGGACTGCCAGTGTTAAAGGCCTCTTACAAGAGGAAAGTTCATCCAGTAGCTTGGAGAGGAGGTTGTGTCTAGTGAATGTTCAAATAGCCGTGATCGTTCATTGACCACAGTTACTCCTGTGTTCCCAAACATCTTAGTATCACACAGCATTTGGGTAGCTAAACAAAAGCTGTCTGGAGTAAAATTGGTCAGTATGGTCAACACTATGAGTATCTTTCAAGGTTCAGTGCTTATCTCTAGTACTGAGGGAAAATACTGATCTTAGAGCTCTCCATGTAAGTTTCAGGACTCTGGGGTCAGTATTTACCCTCTGAGCCATTTCTTTTGCTCTGTATTAACATTTATTTTTATACTTTATATGTGGTCAATTTTTTATTTTTGAAAAGTATTAGGAAATTGGTTTAGTATTTAGGAGCAGCTTTCAGTGCTTCCCCTTTTCTGTTTGACACTCTCAACTATCCCAGGCTAGGCTGAAACAGCCTTTGGGGAAGATGATTCAGACTGTAGGCACAAGCCACCATTCCTACCAGTTTGTCCTTTTAAAATTCCTTTTTAGTTGGGGAAATTTCTATTTTCATTGGATTCTAAGCCAGCCTAGGCTACACGAGACCCTGCATCAAGAAAGCAAGAAATAGATGTATGATTAGGTAATTTTCATCATTGTACCTACTCTAGAAAACAAGCATCTCCCTCAGAAGGTAAGTTTCTGACCTACTATCCAGAAATAAGGCTAAAGGTTCATTAAACTCAGTGATCTCATTGTACCCGAGAACTGGCTTGCCAGCTTTGGACAAGGACTCTGGCTAAGGACAGGACTTATTAAAGAAAGGACTTTTCCCTGGCCTGATGATTGGACAACTTGAGAATGTTGGATTTTGATTCAGGTAGGCTGTGTGAAATAGATCTAATAAAATAATCCCAGATAGGGAATCCAGTGCAGACCAAAGTTACTTTTATCAAAAGTCAAAGTTGGTGAGCCAAATAGTTTGTTACAGAGAGGTTGGAGGTTACTCAGGATTAGGGATAGCTCAAGTCTATCCCAGCTTGGTTAATGACTATGAAAGCTGCAACCTGGGAATCCCTATATGACTTAGTCTGCTGGGGAACTTGGCTGAGCCTTCTTTCCAGCAGTCTAGAACCATGGGGAGGGCCTTGCAAAGTTTCAGCTTTTCTGCTTAGTTACAGCTTATTTGCCTTCCCAGAGCCTATGCTTCCTTCTTGGTGGGCATGTTTCTGTGCAACTTTGATTAGTCCTATTATTGATCTCAGATCCTTGGAGAGGCGGTGTTAGTCAGGGTCAGATAAGAGTTTGAGATGCCCAGTTTTCCTTAATACCATTTGGTGCTGGGGATCAAACGTCCAGTGATTTGGTGTCTTCCCAGGTGCTGAAATTACGGGTTTTTGCTCATCATAAGTATTGTGTAGTTTTTTTTTTCTTTGAGACGGGTTCTCTAACAGCCCTAGCTGTCCTGGAACTAGCTCTTGTAGACCAGGCTGGGCTTAAACGCAGAGATCTGCCTGCTGCTGCCTCCTGAGTGCTGGGATTAAAGGCGTGCGCCACCACTGCCCGGCTTCAGGTTAGTATCTTACACCAGCATAGCATGCTCAAAGGCTAGGGGTATATTGACAGTTGAAGAACACCTATGTAGCATATACAAGGCCCTGGGTTTCATACCCAGAACAGAAAAACCGGGTGTACTGGTACTTGACTGTAATCTCAACAGTCTCAAAAGATGGTAGATTAGGAGTTCAAGGTTAAGGTAAACTACATGAGACTGCCTCAAAAAAAAAAAAAAAATAGTTAATAATCTTCAATATGTTAGATAGCCAGGCCTAACCACTGTGCTAGCTGGATAGTCTGAAGGAACAGAGTTCTTCAGGAACATTAGGACGTCCTGAGTTGCAGGCTGTAGACTTATAACATGTGAGGACTTTCATGTATGTTGAGAGGATAGTAAGTATACTATTTCTTAACCTCCCTAATGCTTCAACCCTTATGTGACCACAACCATAAAATGATTTTTGTTGCTACTTCAAAATCAGTTTTGCTGCTGTTAAGTCATGTAAACATTTGCTTTCTGATGGTCTTAGGTGACCCCTATGAAAGGGTTGTTTGACCCTCAAAGGGGTTGTGACCCACAGGTTAAAAACAGATAGGGTGTTAGAGCTCCCAGCTCCTTGGTTGTTAAAGTGAGTGAAGGTGGAAAGGGATTGTGAAGTTGCCTCCTCTGCCAGGGGGCAGTAGTCTAGTGAGCAGGCATTCTGAAGTACTTCCAGTAACCTCCCACAGGGAACCACTGCTCAGAAGCAAAAAAAAAAAAAAAAAGTTTTACATCTCTGGAGCTAATAGCTTACTGCACTTTGGCCCCCGATACAAACCCATGTTCCCTCATACAGGCACCTATGCTGCATAACAAGCTTGTAATTTGATGCTATTTACTGACTTCCGGTGACAAGAGCTATGTACAGGACTCTGAGGCCTTGCACCTCAGAATGGTTGCTAATAGGAATGAAGTGATGGGATCTAAAAACAGCCCTTTCATAGCATTTGAGCCCCAGCAACACATAAACCCATGTGCTGGTCCACATCTAAAATCTCTTGCAGCTGGGAGGTGACGCCAAGAGGCGCTTAAGGGAGCTTCAAGTTCATCTTGTTTTTCATAGAAAGTTCAATGCTAGTCTGTACCACAACAACGGGAATTGACAATTCCGTTTCTACAAAGCATACTTTCCTTTTTCAGGAACAGCAACTGAAAATAGGTGTGGGATTTGTCTGGTAACCTCTCCAACCGATGTGTGGCTGGAAAGGGAATCTATTTCTCAGGGCAAAGGTACAGCAGGCAAGAGCCAGCTATCACTCAAATAGAGCTGCTGACGCTTTGGCTTGTGAGACAATAGCTCGATCCTGTCACCAGACATACATTGCAGTTACCCTGCTTTGAGCAGACCTCCAGCAGGCCTGGAGAGTACCACGAAGCGCCTCAAGGGGGCGCTGCTGGGCTTTGGGCTTCAGTTGTCTTTCTGCCTCCTGTGAAACTTGTGCTCTCAGATCTTGCCTGCCCCGCAGTCACAGAGGCACAGCCGTGGGCATTTGCATGCTCTGTTTTCTCAACCATGGCAATTCTGTTTCCAATTCTTCTCACTTTTCGCTTTTGAGAGCTCAATTCAGATAACTCTTTAGGCCTGATTCTGGGCCACTAGCACTAACTGCTTCCTGCTCCAAACACAGCATTCTACCCTACCCAAGAAGTGGTCTGCTAACTCCACTACCAAGAGGCCCTGAGTTCTGGGTTTTGCTGTTTATCCCTTTTTTACTATCACGAGACTGCTGGATACACTCACGTCCCAGGACAATGGAGGTTTTCCAGGTGCTGGTCTGAGGGCTGTATGAGATTTTTACCAAGTGGATGGGTTAATGAAGTCTCCTGAGTGAGGTGGGGTTTCGGAGTGGCTGGACCACTTGAGAATCTAGGTTTCATCTGTGTCAGGACGACTGGGCACAAAGTGCAAATTCTAGTCTTTGGATAAAACATTGTGTAATCTTCATGGTGCATTTATTCCTGGTCCCTTGCTGGACCAGGAGAATATTTGGGGCACACAGTTAATTAGGAGGAGGTTCACTAAAGTAGTCTTGCTGGGAGTGGGCTTCTAGATGAAGACCCTGGACATAGACTACTCACCAGGTACTTGCACATCCCTGCCCTCCCTACTACATCGACAGAGGGGTCACAAGACCACATAAAGGAACAGCAATAGACTTTATTATAAAGTAAGCGTTGGTCACCCTTCCCTGTTACTGAAGACATCAGTGTGTGTTATGGACGCCATCCTGGAAGGGGAGGTCTTTTAGAAGGGAGGAACGGGGAGGTTGGCAAAGTCTGCCTCCAACTTGGTCCTGTGTTCAGTTTGTAGAGCCTGTAGAGTTGGGTCAGTTCTTTAGTGACCTGGTTTCCTCTGCTACTCCATCACTCTCCATCCCTGCATCCCACAGAGGCCCAGCTCACCTGGAGTGATCAGTGGGGTGCCTTTCCCAGGTAAGGAACTAGAGAAGGGAAGCACTCAGATTAGCATCAAGATCTGCTGTCCCTACAGATAATACAATAATTCTGCATTTGAGATTTTGAGACCAGGTCTTAAATGCATCTCTCATCATCTCAGACTAGTCTTGACCTAATCTTCCTACCTCTACCAAGTGCTGGGATTACAGGTGTGCACTACCACGCCCAGTAGTGGGCACGCCTTAATACTCTTCTTCCATGGATTTGCTCTTGAATTGGGGCCCTTAAGGGTTTATTATCTTCAAACAAGTCCTACTTTGAGCCCAATGAATAGACAAGCTGTCATGATTTTGTAGGTCCTAGAACTTTATCACCACTTAGGTGTGCTCAGCCATAGGAACATACAACTGAGTCACTTACCTGGGGTTATGACTGCCTACATTTTTTGCACTTGCCACCTGGGAGAGGAAGAACATAGTCAGCCAGCCTGAGTCTGAGCCTGCCTTTCCCTACTCTGCCAATCCCTGTACTTACTGAAGGCCATGGCTAGTCCAGCGATGCACAGGAGCCCTGCAATGATCATTCCGCCTAGTTGCAGGGTTTCCCAGTCTTGGGGCAGGGAATGTGCGAAGCGGAGACAAAAGTATCAGTACCCTCACACATTCATTCAACAGGTATTTATGGGGTTGGGGTTGTGGCTTTGTGGGAGGCCTTTACAAGCACCCACTGGCCCTATAAATAAGCACCTTCCCACATGGCACATAGATCCCAGGCAGTGAAAAAGAGACCAGGTGGGTTAATAGGTACATCATGTAATATCTCAAAGGGACAAGTCATATAAGAGGCAAAGTGGAAGAACCTTGAGAAAGGAGGACAAGGTTCACTGAGCTCAGTTCTGGGCTTCCAACCCTATCTCTATGCCCTAGGGCACCCTTTTTCCTCGCTACATTGAGCTCTCACAGAGACCAGGATTGATGTCCCACCCCACCCTGTCTGTGCTGGGGTGTATACCATCATCCCTAGTGGGCCTGGCAACAAGGTCCAAAGTAGACAAGGATTGGTGGGGAGGGGTGAGGGTTGGTGCCAGCTCTTACCGTAATAGAAGGGACTGTCTTTATCTGTAGTAAATGAAAAGCAGTAAGTGAATGGCAGAACTAGGAGACAAGATATAGGGTCTTATGGGAAAACGCAGGCATGTGGCAGATGTCACTTGCCAGGGTGCAGTGGTGGGTACTTACCAATCGGATCATTGGCTTCCAAGGCAGGCAGAGCTGAGTAGGGAAGTGGAAGAAGTGGTTGATTGTTTACCACACTGGTGTCTAAAATGACAGCTATCTAGAGGGGTCTGGGAAGTGACCCTGGGCTTATCAGGTCCCTTTCTCATATCTTCAGTCCCAAACAGGCCTTGACACTTGTAACTCATACTGAGGCCCATGGCTTCCCATTCACAGCCCTTCCTATTTCTTGCCCTGCTGGTCTTTCTTGTGCTGTGAACAGGATGCTTGGTTCATTTTTCACCTTGCCCCAGAAGCATTGGCTAGAGCCAGGCTCTCTGCCTCTTGAAGAAGCAGCAACCTTGATGTGCATTGTCCATTTCCCATGATCCACTGTCTCAGGAGATATTCCCAAGGTTCTCATTCCACCTGTGCTAGTGTTTCATGCAGCTGACAGTTTAAGTGTGAGCATATTTATTGGGTAGCAGTCACCTGGGGAGAGGCTGGGCTCCACAGCCTTGGAGGGTGGAGTGTATGGAGAACTCACCTGCTAGCACCAGGAGAAAGACACTGGTTACTCCCGTCATGTCAGGACCGAGGGCAGGACCAAGGCTGCAGGCTGCAGAGTGGATGGAGGTGGGTGGGATTCGCTCTGTAGGCTGGTCCGTGACCTTCCACAGTTTTCTCCGTTAGTAAGAGGCAGAACTGGTGTGAGGTTTAGAGATACGATTCCCACTAGGCAAGCACTTCCTTACGAAAATGACTCCTTTCTACTTGCACATCTATGGATGGCAGCAGTGACTGCTTTGATGTGTGGATTGGTTAATTCTAGCTAAATGTTTAGAACACAACACCCTACAGTGTCCACTGTGGGCTTTGTGAAAAGCCTGACAAAGATTGTCATCTCTTTGACAGGAACTGGGAACAGAAGGGAATTCAGGAAAATAAACCAAACATCCCAAGTCACATGGCTGTCCTAAGTCATGTTAGGAAAGTTAGGCTTTTCCTAACCAGGTGTCCAGATCCTGGCTATTCTATTTGAAAAGATCTGGGCCTGGGGTAGCCAGGCTGAATTATAAATTGTCTAAAAATCAGCACTAGGGATGGAAGACACCTTTCCAGGCCTCCTCTTCTGGAGTCAGGGACTCTCTTGCAGGCGACCTAAATTCCACTCAGAGCATCGGTGCTTTCGAAATAGCCACTTTCTTCTGTGAGTAGGTCCTATGCAGGGCCCCATTTACACATTGTATAGCTGACTTTTATAGGAAAAAAAACCATCTTTTCTGTGTGATGGTAGACATCATTAGTGTCAAGGGTTCAGTTCTGAAGCCACTATTACTATCTATTATACCTAGCTCTGACCTTAATGAGATCACAGAGCCAGTGCCAACTGCCTGGACTCAGTCCCTTCTCATTCACTTGCCAGCTATGTGACTTAGTAGGTACCATCTCTGTGTATCAGTGTCCTGTAAATAATAGCAACCTTGTAAATTGTGCAGATGAATTTATAATTCATTTATCCTCTAGCTAGACCCTGACACCTTGTGGCTCATGGGCCCTACTTCAGGCTGGAATGAGACACTTCCCTGGCCCCGCTAGACTTCTGCTTGCCTCACAAAGAGGGAGTGGTGTATGGACCTTTTCCTTAAGATGGAAAACTGAAAACTTGTGGGCATGAGAGTTTGTGGTCCAGCCCGTCTTTTCATTTTCTTCTGCCTCTTCCCTTAACCCACAGCTCCTGGATTTTCCCATTTGCATTTCACATGGACCTCTGCTAAAGGTTGGCTCCTATTTCGCTAGCCCTGAACCCTCTACTACACAGTCACAAAGTCAGAAGTCTCCAGGCCTTGGAAGACCATCTCTGTCCTCACAACCCCCAAACCGTTGTTCACTTCCCAGAGTTCTGGGCTCAGCACCCACCACCCCTTCTGATGCTCTTTTGACCACCCCCTCCAAGCCCTAGCAAGTATCTACTCACCCTGGAGATCAGCCCAGCCAGGTGAGTGGTGCCGGGTGCAGAGAGCAAGTCTGAGGACAGCCTGGTTGGATTCCGCTCTTTAAACTGAGGGGCTCCGCCCTGGGCCACACACCAGCAGTCTGGAGGGAACTGGTCTTACCTCTTATGCTCCTGTAACCAACCCTCCCCACCTGCTCTTAAGGACACAGCTCACTTAACCACACCCAGGGTAGTGCCAGTGCTGGGTCCCAGGCTACTTAGAGCTAAAGAGAGAGAGAGAAGGGGGGAACTATGGCTACTGAGAGTCAGTTCCTACCCCAGAGGAAAAGGGGCTTACTTAGACTATGGAGGTCTTAAAGCCACAGGGTGGCAAGAAAGCTGGCGCTCAAAGTTGACTGACCTTCACATGCACACACACTCACTACAAGAGGCCCCAGGGAGCTCAGGGTTCTGCCTTGCGCCAATAAAGACCGGCAGTTGCATTACTTTTGTTAGGACCTGGTGTTCATTGAGAGACAAGGCTGGGTCTCATGGGGACCCATTGGTTTATTTATCCTCTAGCTAGACCCTGACACCTTGTGACTCATGGGCCCTACTTCAGGCTGGAATGAGACACTTCCCCGGCCCAGCTAGACTTCTGCTTGCCTCACAAAGAGGGAGTGGTGTACCAGGCAGCAGTCAGCTTGCTTTGTCCACTGTTGGCTGGATTTATCCTGCCATGTACCTTTGGATGACTAGGCCTCTCTACTCTTTTTCCCAGTGAGGGAAGACTTGTCCCTGTCTAGTAGGTTGTTGAGGAAGTTGAGGGTGTTTGTCTTGGGCAGGTGGAGGAGGATTTAACAGTTATTTTCTTTTTAATTTTGTGTGGGTATTTTGCCTGCATGCATAGGTGCACTGTATGTGTGCCTGGTGCCCACAGAAGCCAGAAGGAAATGTCAGATCCCCTAGAACGTGAGTTATAGACGGTTGTGAGCAGGCATGTGGGTGCTGGCCCTCAAACCCAGGTTCCCCGAAAGAGCTCCTAACCACTGAGCCCTTCCCCAGTCCTTTTTTTTAAAAGAGTGGAATACTTTACAAAGTTATATTTTATTCCTGTTTAGGGTCATGCTATTCCTTTTCTGTTTTTAATTTTAGTATATGTGCTGCTGATGTAAGCACAAAAATGTGTGTGTATTCAGTGTATGCATATGTGTGCATGTACCTGTGCAGATTGATATCTGCTGTCTACTATTGCTTTCTGTGGTGGTTTGAATAGGAATGTCCCCCATAGACTCATATTTGAATGCTTGATCCATAGGGAGTGGCCTTTTTGGAGGAAATGTATCACTGTGGGGACAGGCTTTGAGGTCCTCTGCCTAAGGTGGAGGGAGTCAGTGATCTATGGGAGTACACATAAATATTTAGAGTGTGGCTTGACAAACATATCCATTTAAGAAAAACAACAATAGTAGGTTCCTCTCAGAGCCTGTGACCTCCTGAGTCAGGGTTTTTGGCCAGGTATACAGCATCAGGCCTGAATTCCCTCCTGTGGAGCAGGGCTTAAATCCAATCCCAAAGCAGTTGGTTGCCGCCTGAACTTCATAGTACTATGGCACATCTTGGCAGGTTGGCTTACAGCATGCAGGGTTGGCTGCAGGGATGCCATGGATGGCTTTTTCTCCCTGCAGTCTGTGTAGTTTCTTCTGGCCTTATAAAAACCAGTCAGCGGAAGGCAGTTTTTAGGACAGTTCCAGCTCTGTTTCTTTGTCGTGCAAGCAGAATGTGCTGTGACCTCAACAGTAGGATCTCACCATCTAGTTCTGCTGGGTCACCAAGACCAGTAGCAAAGTAGAGCAGGCTGGCCTTAAATTCACAGAGATTCCTCTGCCTGTGTCT